ACCCCCCACTCATCTCAAACCCACCACCTATTCGCACCAGCACCCAACAATAGCATAATATACTAGACGAGACTATACTATATAATTGTAATATCGCATAATACACCATCATTCGATAAGATAACGAAAAGCGGCCCAAAGCCCAAGGGGCAGACGCCGAGGCAGGCGTTGATGTGGAACTCATTGGGGCACAGCCGCTGCTCCGACATGGCCTCCAGCCTGTAGGGTTTAGAGTTTAGGATGTACTGTAGGGTTTAGGGTTTAGGGTTTAGGGTTTAGGGACTAGGGTTTAGGGCTCAGGGTGTGTATACAGAGCGCGCGCGGTGGGTGCGCCTTCTTATAGGGGCGCCCCCAGTTATCGCGTGCTTGCGTCAGCATGTAGTCCCGCCCCAACCACCCCAGCTATTCTCAAATAGGGTTTAGGTTCACCCCCCAAACCCCCGTAAAAGGGGGGTTTTCTTGCTCTCTGCTTCTCCTCGCGGCTTTGCATAAAATGCGCGTTTCACAGCAAACCACAGCTGAGATGGATTAGAGTGTCGGGTTGTGGGTCCTCGCGGCCGCTCGACGCAAAGCCTTTCAACAAACACTTCGCCCCTCTCACCCTGTCAGGGTTAAGGCAGGGCAGGGCAGGGCATGGCCGATTTTGCCACGTTAAATTCTTTTCGTAAAATGTGTTTTAGATTAAGCTGGTGGCCCCAAGACGCCCTCAAAAAAAAACACAACGACGCCAACGGTGAGGGCTTTGTCCTCATTATGACCGTCCGTACTGTGTGAGGCATAGCCGAGTCATTTCCGTCCCCGTGTGCCGGGAGGCTTTACCCTCCCTCAACGTTGTGACGGGACGCTCGGCCGGGGGCCTCGGTCGGAGCCTCGAGAGCCCATGCGAATGGTCAGCTGCGCTCTCGGCAGTTTAGGGCAGTATTGTAGTGCTGTAGTACCATAGTGTGTCATAATTATAGTGCTTATAGTGTTCTCATTGTGGTATGATAGTGCTATGGCAATCAATATGGTATTGTAGTATACAGTGTGGTACTGTGGTATCATAGTACTATCTAGGATCCCCCGTGACCCCGTGCGCTAGGAATAAGAAGGGCCCTTTTGCTTTTGAGTAGTCTTTTTGAGGACCTAAGACCACAGAAAGGGAACAAGCGCCAACTGGGAGACCTAGCTACAGTAGCGTAGTATCACAGGAGTATAGAGATCCCGCAGCGTCATCAGGCTCTGTTACGTAGAGCCAACTAACATCAAAGAAGTGTGATTCGCATCAAACGAAGCATCTTTCGTGTGCAAGTACAGAAATTTCCTGCTTTCTCATATGCCAGGGTGCAAGAGCACCGCCAGCTTAGGCCGCCGCGCACCGCGCAAGGCCACGAAAGCCTCTAGGGGCTGACTTTAGAGTTCGGTGCGCTGGGAGGATCAGTACTATAGAAATCTACGAAACCAGATTTCCTGGCACTCCAGAGAACCAGAACCTTAGCAAGTGTGGTTCTCAGTACCTTAGATGGGGCCGTAACGGATTATGAGCACAGGTGCCTGAAGGACCTAGCTTATAGGACTGACTAGGTCCCCTGACCCCCTCAGTCTTCAAGTACTCCGTAGTAGTTTAGAAAATATTTCAGCCGTCTCGGAAAGACTAGCACCGACTGAAGCTTCTGAAGAGAACCGCACGGCGGCCCACGGGAAAGGACTTCAAATGAGATGGCGGATGGGTGCACAGCGCAGGGCTGAAGAGCTTCATTCCAGGACAGAGTCTTCATCATGAGTAGTTCTCTAAATCAATTACGGCCCCTTTTTTGGTCCCAAACATTGTACGGCACCCTTATAAAAGGACCCCTAAACGGGCCCTAATTTAGAGAACTACCCATGCTGTCATGTTGTAGACAGGAGCTGGCCCAAGAACACCCCCCAACTCTTCATGCTCAGTTCCTGAAGGCCCTACACCCTAAAGCGCGAGCGCTACACCCTAGCCTCCAAGCTCCAAGCCCTACAACGTCCTACAACCTGACCCGAAACCCTTAGCCCCAAGATTCTAAGCCCTGCACCCTGAGCCTTCCCCACGGTGAAGGGACCCTTGTAGTACCTTTAAAAGGAACCCTTCTAGTACCTTTAAAGAACGTTAACGGAACCCCTTTAGTACCTTTAAAAACCCGTATTATACATCCCTCATACTTATAGAACCCTTATAGATCCCTTATAGCACCTTTAAAGGGGCCCTTATAGTTCCGTTACAGAAGCCCTTGTAGTACCTTCAAAGGAATCCTTAACCCGAAACCCTAGACCCGAAACCCTAAACCCTAAACCCCGAACCCTAAACCCTAAACCCGAAACCCTAAACCCCAAACCCTAAACCCTAAACCCTAAACCCGAACCCCCGAGACCGGGATCCCGGAGCCTTCGTGACGCGCCGCGGCTGACAGATCCAGGCGCGAGCCTTCGCCCGGACAAATCGCCGCCTGGGCTTTGGGCCTTTTAGGGGTTTTTAGGGGATTTCAGGGCTCAGAGGGTGTAGCTTAGGATTGTAGGGGATTTCAGGGCTTAGAGGGTGTAGCTTAGGATTGTAGGGGATTTCAGGGCTTAGAGGGTGTAGCTTAGGATTTTAGGGGATTAAAGGGCTTAGAGGGTTTAGGGTATAGGGTTTTTAGGGGATTAGAGGGCTTATAGGGTGTAGCTTGGGGGTTTAGGGGATTAAAGGGCTTAGAGGGTTTAGGGTTTAAGGGTTTTTAGGGGATTCAAGGCTTATAGGGTGTAGCTTGGGGGTTTAGGGGATTTCAGGGCTTATAGGGTTTAGCTTAGGGGTTTAGGGGATTAAAGGGCTTACAGGGTGTAGCTTAGGGCTTTAGGGGAGTAAAGGGCTTATAGGGTTTAGCTTAGGGGTTTAGGGGATTAAAAGGCTTATAGGGTTTAGCTTAGGGGTTTAGGGGATTAAAGGGCTCATAGGGTTTAGCTTAAGAGTTTAGGGGTTTAGGGTTTAGGCTTTTTTTTAAGTGCAGGGTTTAGGCTTTAGGGCGTAGGGTTTAGGGCTTAGGCGTCTTAGGGCTTTTTCCCCTCCTACTTAGCAGGGACGAGCCCGCCTTGCAGATTCTGTTCGGCAACTCTGGCACTCGCAGAGTAGAAACAGATTCAGTCCCAACCCCTGATTCAGGTCTTAGGGTTTAGGGTTTTAGGGCTTCTAAGGCTTCTAGGGGGGTTTTTAGGGGACAGTTAGGGGCTCCAAGGGTTTGGGGGCTCCAAGGGTTCAAGGTTCAGGGTTTCAGGCTTCAGGATGGCTTAGAGGGTTTAGAGTTTCGGGTTTAGGGGTTTTGGGTCCCTAAACCCTAAACCCTAAACCCTAAACCCTAAACCCTAAAAGCCCTAAGGGTTTCGGGTTTCGACTCACACACTCGCGCAAGCAGGCATGGCTTCCGAAGGTCCGAGCTTCGGGTTTAGGGGTTCTGAGGGTTTTTTTTCCATCGCATCTGTTGCAGAGAGCCCTAGTTTCCCAAGGGTTTGGCATCTAGGGTTTAGAAGGTTTTGACAGGGGGTGTATCTTTAAGAGTCTTGAGTTTTCAAGGTTATGCAAGGCTTAACGGCTTCGCGGTTTGAGGTTTATAGGTCCTTGGGCTGAGACCGCCCACTTACTACAGGTGCCTTAATAATCAGAATAGGGTTTTTCGGATATTATACTAGAGTTATATTCGAGGCCTTACAAATCAGAAACGGGTTAGGCGCTTTGTTGTAGTATACCATAGCTGGCTACATTGAAGGCCACAAGGAAATTCTACTAGTAGTTATCCCGACGACTGACGGCCTTGCAATGCACCTGATGCTGCCAAGCCACACTGCTCCTGTTGGCAGGGCCGACAGCAGGGGCCATGGACGGATGCGGGGACTCAACTCAGCACTAAACTCAATTTCAAAAACCTCCAAACCCTGGCCCTAAACCCGAAATAAGGTCAATATATAGAGGCCTTAATAATTAGATTAGGGTCTTGGGGTCTATGATACGAAAATTAGCCCCCAAAATAGTATACAGTATTTCTAATTATTAAGACCCCTATATCACAAGCCTTGAATCTTGAGACCCGGAAACCGAGAACTCCTCAGAGACTCCAATATCCCTTAATTAAGGCATATACCTTAAATCATATTAGGGGTCCTGCTATTATTTGTAGGTATATTCCTCAGATAAGGGATGTACCTTAAATCATATTAGGGATCCTACTTCAATCTAAGGTATATTCCTTAATTAAGGGAGATTGGAGTCTCTAATTAATTTTATTAAAACCCCTATATTACAAGCCTTGAATCTTGAGACCCGGAAACCGAGAACTCCTCGGTCATCCGCCAGCCGGAGCAGCGCTTCCTCGTCTCCGGGCATGGGCAGCGCATGGCGAAGCGATGGGTTCTGAGTGCAAGGGTCCGCTCCTGTGGGGCCCCGCTTCCTGGCATCTTTGGGCTTTCGCCTTTGGGGGGTTAGGGTTTTTTTTTGACGCTCACACTCGGACAAGCCTGGCAAGGTCCACCACGATACTGTCTTCAAGGTCAGGGTTTAGGGTTTAGAGTTTTAGGTCCTGAGGTTTATTGTATCCGAGGTTCGGCAGGGGGTTGCTGCAAGGCTTCAGCCGCAAGGGTTTAAGCGTTGCAGGTGTCCAGCTTGTGCAGCTTTCGGCTACAGCTCCCGCCTGAGGCTTTGAGAGGATGTCGGCACTTCCACACAGAACTGGCGCGATCATCATGCCGGTAGTTCTCCAAATTAGGGGACCTTTTTATAAGGGTCCCGTACTATCTTGGGGACCACCTACTGTAGAGAACTACCCATGTGCCAGGTCGAATGTGCCGTGGACGGCTGTCTCGCGTGCAGTAGTTGCTGCGATAGGCACTCTCAAGCGAGGAAGCAGGGCTTGGCCAAATCACCCAAGCCCTAAACTGCCTAATCTGAGTTTTCGACACGTATACTCCAAACTCCTATGGCCCAAGACCCACTAGAGATCTCTAGAGCATGCCACCCCTCACCCACCCACCTTCCGCACTGTCTCGAAGAGTTCGGTGTCACAGCCCAGCATCATCTCGTGCAGCCACATGTCGTCCTAGGCGCGAGGTTGCGGCACGAGGTGCTTGCTCCGTCTTCGTCTGCAGCTGGTGAGGACGGCAAATATCAGAAGATTAGCAACAGTGCCTCGAGCACCATACTGCCAGCAACAAAGTTGTCTCTGCCAGAGAGTTAAAACAGGAGAACTCCCAGGTAACAGTCATAAACACCATCATCGGACTGTAGGAGACACGATTATTGAGCCGCTTCTACACTACTGTATTCGTCACTTCACGACGGCGACGACGACAACCACCACCGCCACCAATCACTTCCGCCACTACCACCACTACGACTACCAGCAGCACTAGGCCCTACTCCTCCTGTCCTGCTGTTGCTGCTGCTAAAGCACGCTGCTGCCACTACTACTACGACTCCTCCTCCTACTGTTGGTGCTCTACTAGTACTGGTACTGATACGGCATCAAGCAATAGTGATAGCAGTGTTCTCAATATTAAAAATGGTAATTAGAATGATGTCGGGCCTTAACAATTAGAATCGGGTTTTGGGGGCTCCTTATTACAGTTATAGTATACTATACCCCAAGCCCTACTCTAATTATTAAGGCCCCTATATTACCTGAAAGGGTTGGTCGAATACTTCGAGCCGCGAGATTGCGATTTTGACCTTCCGCCCGTCGGGTTGAAAAACTGGAAGTTCGGGCCTTCGGATACTTTCAGGTAACACAGGGGCCAAAATGGGAGCTTCCGAAAATTAGGGATGCCATATTTGTGGGTCCTTATAATAAGGATCCTACTATTTAGGGTACTATATTAGGGCCCCCTATTTTCGGAAACCCCCAAATGATTAGAGTAGGGTTTGGGGGTATGGTATACTACAATTGTAGGAAGGAAACCCCCGAAACCCTATTCACTTGGGCAGTGCCCGGGTTCAGGGCTCATGGGCCTGAGGGGTCTATTGCTTAAGGGGTTTAGGGTGTAGGGCCCATCTAATCTAGGGGCCTTTTTATAATCCGAATAGGGTTTTGGGGCCCATTCTACTACATTTAGAATAGAGCCCCCAAAATAGTATTGGTAGTTATTTGGGGGTTTCCGAAGATAGGGGACCCTAATATAGTACCCTAAATAATAGGATCCTTAATATAAGGACCCCCAAATAAGGTACCCCCTAATTTTCGGAAACTGCCATTTAGGCCCCTACATGATTTTCAATCTGCCGGTGGAGGCTTCAGGGGTTTAGGGTTTAGGGTTTAGGGTTTAGGGTTTAGGGTTTAGGGTTTAGGGTTTAGGCTTCAAGCTTCAAGTTGGATCAGCTTGGGGGGCTTGGGGCATGTGCCCTTGGCGCATCACTGGCGTCACAAGCACCGACAGCAATACTATAGGGGCCTAAATAATTACCTATGCTAGTTTGGTGGTTCCTTGTTATAATGATGGTATAGTATACCCCGCAAAACCCTATTCTAATTAGTAAGGCCCCTGCATTACCAACCTTTCTTCTAAACTGCAGGAAGCTTCCGGACCCTTTCAGGTGACCCTCCACCCTGAGGGCCTGCTATGTCCTGGAACAGTCTGGACTTTTGGGTATGTGGAGCTTCAGAAAACAAGGGTCCTCTTCTTCAGGTAGTGGGATCCTTACATTTACTAAGAAGCCTCAAACTGAAGACCCGTACGGATTGAAAGCCTAAAGCCTTTTGAAACTGGGCTTGCTGGCCACGCGAACCAAAAAAAACAAACCCCAAAACCTTTTTGAAACCGGACTTACCCCAAACCCTAAACCTTAAACCTTCCAGAACCCTACGAAAAACTTTAAGAATTGAACCGGCCCTAAACCCTATAAAGCCCTATACGCACTCAGCCCGCGACAATCTTGGCCTGGATTCGCTCAAGCTCGTGATCTGCCCGCCTGGCTCGACAGCGTTTTGAAACGCCTAGGGTTTCGGTCTAGGGTTTAGGGCTTAAGATTTTGTTGGGTTTAAGGTTTAGGGTTCAAGGTTGTTTTTTTTTGGCGTCCCTTTTCCGTTAGCAGAGGCTTGTGTTTAGGGATTGGGGAAAGTTTAGCGGGGAGGGTCAAGTGAAAGAGGTACATATTCTTGCATGTCCAGTATCCCAGACAAACGAAAGGTTTAACCTTTCGGATTATATAAGGGTTATAGCAGCCCAAAAAGGTTAAAGGCTACCTACTCTACTACTACGGTCCGTAGAACAAAGGCCATTCACAACTCCTACAAAGCGCACGCACTGTAAACCCCATAAAGCGCCGAAACAGCACTTCAAAAACCCAGCACATGTCACATAAAGTCCTGTAAACCGCATAGCTTAGTCAAACCTCTATACAAGCCGAGCTGCCACGTTTACTCAGCAATCAAACCAGCCACCGAGGGTATCCGGCCAAAAGCATGAGGAGAGTACCCCGTGGATGCAAACCTAGGGCTTATAGACCCATCCCAATGCCCCAAACTCGAATGCGACCGAAACCGATTCATGCACAGCCCGTTCAAGTTTGATGGCACTGCTTCTTCGGGCTCGGTTTCACTATGCGGTGACACAACCTGACAACCAAGAGAACAACTCCCAAGAACCGACTGAACCGAAAGCCAAAAGCTTCTCATTTCTGCTCTTATGCGAGACTTACTAAATTCTAAAACGGCAAATGCCCCGAAAAGGTGAATCAACAAAGGATATACACATCCACGCACCCATCAGCCAATGTGTATTCTGTAGGCACCCCTGTCTATCTATCTGCCCTGACTTATGACGTCGTCTACGCCGTATACCCACATGTGCTCCTACATCCTTCCCCTGCCAGCCATGGCTTCGGGTGCATCTACAAACCCGGAAACGCCTCCGCCAGTGCAGCATGCTCCGGAAGATCTGGCCTAAGCCGGTTACTTGGAGGATCATGGGACTTAGTAAGTAAGGTTATAAGTACCCTAATTGGGGTTATAATTATAGCTACCTTATGTATAACCCTAGTTACTAAGTCTCATGATCCTCCAAGTAGGTGCGAGTAACTACTTTACATTTCGGGCCTCGGGTGTTTTTTAACATCGGGAACAGGATTTTGGGGGTATACTAAACTATGACTTAGTCATTGTAGGGAGCCCTCAACAATAGTATTACAGGAGTTTTTCATAGGGGTTGAGGGGAGAAGTTTTTCTTTCAGGCTCCGGGAGCTCTAGGCCCCGCTTACAGCGTATCTCTAAGTTAGCCTGCGTAGGATTTCTGTGGGGGTTGCGTTGACTAGTTTTATTTGCGCCTTTATTCTGTTGCCTTAGGAGTACTTGAGGCTTTCAGGATTTTGAGGTTCAGGGTCGCAGGAGCCACGAGAGCACTTTCCCCCTTGCGATCTGCAATATAGTGGCCTTGAATGATTTAGAACAGGGTTTTGGGGGTGGAGGTTTCGTTGATTGATAAGTTCTACAATAGTTTCTACAAGGGTTTCGTAAAATGTCTTAATAACTAAAATAGGGTTCCTCAGTATACTATACTGAAAAAGTATATAAAATGTTGGCAGTTATTCAGGTATCTTTAGAAGATAGCTCGCTAAGGATGCTACGGGGCGGAGTAACCTCGCCCAAAACAGCTTAACCTGTTCCTCAATATTGATTTAACAACGCCCAAAACTGTTTGTAGTTGCGAGTAAGGCTTGTACTAGTGAACCCGTAACGGACATTAAGAATCATGCAGGGTCGCTACCCTAAACCCTAAACGGTACCTAGACGTGCACATTCTAACAGCGCCCGCAGAAGATGACTGTAGAATTGGAGGCCTTAATAATTAGAATAGAGTTTTCGGATACCTTATAGTATAACGATAACTCGGAACCCTAAGGAATAATGTTGGCAATTATTGAGGCTTCTATAGTAATCTATAGTACACGTTCGATTGCTGCTAGATTCGTTTGGGTCGGGTGTCCTACAAGACTTGTGGCGTTAGGGTGTACCCACAGGACCTTTCGACTGTACCAGTTTGCAAACATCTTGCCCACTAGATGTGAAGACTTCTTGCCTGTCTCAGCCCACCTCTGATTCACATGATAACCGCGCCTGGCTGGGCGACGGCTCTTGACCTGGGACCAGGCCTCTGCAGATCCAATCTAGGGTTTGCCGCCCTGGCCTGCGAGCTTAGAAGCTCTGCAAGCAAGAAGTCCCCTGAACCCCTAAAAAAAACACGGGACTCAACCCTCGGCCAGATTCCGTAGCGACATAAGGATCCCACCCAGCGGGAGTGCCGCTCTTGGAAGCACTCCAGGAGATAGCCTGAGCCGTGCTTCAGAGTCTCAGGCTTGAGGGCTTCAGAGCTTCATCGTGTGTGCTGCTTGGCATGAACAGCAATAGCCGTAATAACTATAATAATAATAATAGTAATAATAATAATAACAATAATAGTAGTAGTAGCAGTAGTAGTAGTTGTTGTTGTAGTAGTGGTTATAATAATCATAATAATAATGGCTGTCCATCACCATGCATGTTGCTGTTAGTGTTGGCTTCTCGGCGTCTGCGCTATCGGCTTCGGGGTTTGGCGAGTTTCCATGGGGCGATGGGCCCAATAACAAGCGGACCCTTGCGATGATACGGAGCCGCGACTCGGCCGAATTAGAAGCCTCCACGTATGCAGACGGAACCCGTTTCGATTTAGGATAGGGCAATGGCCATCAACGTCATACGTGGAGTCCGGATATGCATGGCCCGACCAAGACCCTGCGGCGGATAGCCGGATAGCCAGCATGACAGAAATAGCCGTGCTAATGACGACCATAGCCCGGACAACCGCAAACAGAACACTGGTAACAATCGTTCTCGTAGATACCTAGTTGCCAAGCCACCAGCACGACCACAACTTGTCACGGAAAACCACAATAACAAACATCAATGCTACCATATGGTAGCACCTGTCACCTATAAACTGAGCAAGAGTATCCAAGCAATGCCACATGAAGCACAAATACAAGGACAGCGCCTGTAGCGCAAAGCCCTAAACACGACACGTTCGGGGCGCGGCCCAAAAGACATGGGCGTGGCTTCAAGAATCAGACCAGGTTTCGGGGATCTGCGTCAGTATAAAGACTGCAAGCGGATACGATTCCACCCATGCATCGGACTGCCTTGGTTTCCGAGTTGGGATACGAGTACCGTGCTCGTTTGCGGTTTTCGCTGGCTCATAGGCACCGGACGGCTGCGAGGAGCCGGTACTGCTCCTCTCTGCAAAGCTCTGGGGGCTTGGAGTGTCGGTTTCACGTTCACAAGAAACAACGCAACGATCGTGAGGCATAAGTTGGGTGCCTGACTAGACACAACAACACTTGTAGGCAGCAACCAAGCCGAGCGGAATTGAGCGGAATCAAGCAGTGCAATTGCATTGGAAGCAGGACTGTCCTTGGTATTGGAGACGAGCGTTCCGGTGTGCTGTCTGGCGCCAAGAAGGAAGGCAGCAATGCTTAAAAGCTTTAGGGGTTTGGGATATAGCATACTAGAAGTATAATAAGGAACCCCCAGAATGATATGGGTAATTATTTAGGCCCCTATATTACCCAATCCTCGAATTCAGGCCCTGGGACCCTTCTCGAATTGACGACAGAACCTGCGGGAACCTGACTCTGCACTACGGCAGAAGTCTCGATGCGGCGCCAAGAATCCGAAGCCCTCCACTGCACTGCGGTGCTAGCACTAGCGGTTTAGGGTTTAGGGTTTAGGGTTACGCACTAGAGTTCGCATCGTATTCCACGAACTTCTGCGAGCTTGGTGCACCGACATATTTTGCAACGATCCCACGCCCTGGTCTCTTGGCTATGGTCAGTGTGGCTGCTGCTGCTTCTGGTCTGCTGATGGCTGCGGCTTTCCTTCACCTACGCCTGCTGCTACTGCTGCGCTACTGCTGCTGCTACTGCTGCTGCTACTGCTGCTGCTACTAGAACCGATAACCTCGTGTGTAAATCGGCCGTGCCTACGATCATCGTCGCGGCCTGTCGAAGGCATGGTCGAAGGCATGGAACTTGGTATGCCAATATCAGGCTGACTTTCTATGTAAAGCTTCGTGGGGAAGAAGCCATGCGATTGTGCTTGTGCGAACTTTATTGGTGCATGCCTTCTGCTTGTGAGGGAATTTCTCATTTTATTTTCAGGCCTTTGCCACACACACACACACAGGCACACACACACACACACACTCTTACTTGCTCGGAGCACCGGGGCCCAGAAACCAGATCAGCAAAAACTGTCCTCGTTTATGCAAGCTTGGTGACAACAAAAGCACGAGTACCCCACATGCTATAGATGTCAATTGCGAATCTGCATCTCCACCATCAACGAATCGGACGCAACTGACAGCATGTCAGTTGCGAAGAACACGCGCCGCAAAGGGCAGCACAAGCCACGATTAAGTTGTAGGCAACCAAACTTTGACTCGTGCTAACTCTAACACCAACCCTGATACTGATACTGGGACGAATACTAAACTAATACTAATACGACCTCTACTTGGAAATACCAAAACTAACAATAACAACACTGTGAAAAAAACAGAAGAACAGTAATGATGACAGCAAAACTAACAAAAACGTTCACGAGCAATGATATTAAGAAATGAAAATACTCACAATCAGAACAATTATGAAAATCATCATCAACATCATCATCATCATCATCATCAGGAATAATACAAAGAAGCCAATATTACTCACAGTACTAGCAAAAATACTACTGACTTTCATACCAGTCATGATCATAATAACGATGACAATAGCAATGGCGACTGCAATAGCAATAACACCTTCTAAGTAACATCGATGTTCAAGGTTACTGCCTTAAGAGACTAGATCCATTTCCCCCATTCCCTACTCAGAACCAGGGGGTCAAAGCTGTACCCTGGGGCTTAGGGTTTAGGGGTAAACCCAAAACCGTCGATCACCGCTGTAACGGTGGGCCTTCTTCTTCGGGCGGCGTTTCCACGGCACGCTGGGCATGCGAGCCTTCACCTCTTGAAAGTGTCTGGGCGTCGAGAGAGGCTAGGACGAATCATCTTAATACAATAACAGCAGCAACCACAACCACAACAATAATAACAATAACAATAGTAATAATCATTACCGTCATCACAGTTCTTCTTACTATCGGCATTATTATTACCTAGTATTTTGATTTTACTTAAGGCTAATCCATGATTATGATTGCTGACAGCAGACTCGCTTGCATGGCTGTCCAGGGAAGCAATAAGCCCCCTCCGTCAGTCTACATTACAAGTTGGATCCGAGGATTCATGCCCTTAAGGAAACTAAGGCCAAGCGGGGAACTGAGGCCAAGGGAATCCAGTAATCAGGGGTCTACGATCTACTTTATGCACCTCTCTTCACGCGTTCCTTGTCCAAGCTGCTAGCACAGAAGTCCAAGATCCCAAAAGCATACCCTCAAGCAAACTCCAACCGCTGCGCTACACCCTTTAAATATCAGCGCAACGACACATCTCAAAGCCCCGAAGCCCTAGGTCCGAAGTCCCTTCCCATAAACCTCTCCCCTCTCTCTCTCTCTCCCCTCTCTCTCCCTCTCTCTCTCTCTCTCTCTCTCTCTCTCTCTCTCTCTCTCTCGGACTCAGAGGTCTGTCAGCCGCGCGGCCGTCTAACACTTCCTCTCCTGATGTTTTCAGGGCTTACAAGGACCTATTTAACAGAGCCTCTGGGGCTTCAGGGCATATGATTTCTCGGGGTGCTTTTGGCTCAGAATCGGACACTCCTGGCGAGGCATGTTTGCGATGGTCTGATTATTGTAAAAGCTTAGGGTATTAAGGTTTAAAGTTATTCAGGATTTCCGTGTAACGCTCTCTGGAGGCTTACACGCCATCAGGCATTTGGTCTGAAGTTGGAAGGAAACCAACAGCATGGCGACATTGAATCCTGCCAAGAATGCTCTGCAACCTTTCCGCGTTCCCTGACTCGGTCACAACATCAGAGTGTCAAACTCAAGAGGCCAACGCTTCACTCAGGGCGAAGACGTATATCGGCCACTTTCGAGAGGCCTGGGATAGAGCCTTTTGCATCCAGCCTGCAAGAGCCTCTGCTGGGAACCTAACGAGGGCTGGGATAGAGCCTACACCCTAGAACTCAGAACTCTGAAACCTCTGACAGCAGTCAAACCTAAGCGCAACTCGCAGGGGTGCCGACGCTCTTGGTCATCTCAGAGGCCGAGCTAAAGATGCTTCTTGTGGCGGCCTGATGCTGACATGGGTAGTTCTCTAAATTCGGGTAGCTTTTAGGCCCTTATGTAGAGAACTACCAACCTCGTCCTTTATCGCAGCTATACCCTGGAGAAGAGTGATAGCCATAGCAGTGGTCGAGCTCAGCAACCGGACTAAGGATTGGCGATTCGGAGTTCGAAAGTAGGGTGGAGCCTCGGGGTTCAGGGACTGCTTCGGTAATTTGTAACCTGGCCATCATAGGACGTAGTAAGTAAGGCCTTGCCTTGTTTATTACCCTAGTTACTAAGTGCCATGATCCTCCAAGCAAGTCATAGGCAAAGAGGTCTACAGAGGGCGTATAGGTAGCATTATTAGGGGTACCCCTCAAAGGGTACCCCTTCTGAATCCTACTTTTGGCTCTCTTAAAAGGGACCTTATTGAGAGGGTCTATATCCCCAAGGGTCCCCATACTCCTAGCTCCAAGCGTAGGGGTCAGGGTCCATTTCGAGGGCTTCCGATGCTTGCCAAAAGAATGCAAACTGCTAAGAGGGCTCAGGGTACTTGGAGGATCAGGGGAGTTAGTAAGTAAGGTTATAAGTACCCTAATTGGGGTTATAACTATAGTTACTTTATTTATAACCCTAGTTACCAAGTCCCATGATCCTCCAAGCACGGTAAGGATCGTCAAGGCGTCCGAGTCTACATTTTATAAAGACTGAGTTCCTACGTAGAGGATAAGGCAAGGCAACTGCACCACTGAGGTATTGGCAGTGAGCAAGCTATCACAAGTCATATCTGGGTTCAATATCGCAGCCTGTGTTGGCGACGACACGCTTTTTTGGCACCAGCACCGCTGAAAAAGATGTGGTCGCGCTTTTGCGAGAACTACATGCGAAGTGCAGGTGTCTACAGAGAAAAACCGCAAGGAGCTGTGAATTTCGCTCTGTCTGTTAAGACTTCAGATTCTGGGAGACGCTCATGTGGGAGAGCCCTCGTGCCAGTCTGTTTACTGTAAGGGCCTCAATGGGTATACCAATAGGAATAGGGCTGTCGCGTAAGCACATTCTACCATATTTATAATGAGGAACCTCCAAAATAGTATTGGTTTGTATTTAGGCCCCTATATTAACTATTCATTGATGGTCTACGCCGCACCATCCTACCATCCGCGGGAACGGTGCGGAGTCAGAGGGATCAAAGGGCGGGATGAAGGTAGATCGGGTATTCCCAAATAAGGGTCCTTAGAATAAGGGTTCCCTTAATCCTGCCCTGAACCCTACGCCCCTGCATAACCCCAACGCCCCTTAAACCCCCTAACCCTAAACGACGCTTCGCCGCGCGCCCGCTCACACGGTAAATGTAGAGAGCATGGAGAGCAAGTGGTCCTGGCCGTTGCGCGCCGCCAAATCGGCCTGGTAGGTTCAAAGCCCTTGAGCATACTACACTATACTGCCAGACACCATACTTTGCATACTAGACAACACTGCACTATAGTAGAATTTACTATACGACACTACAGGGTAAGATACTCTAATCTACTAGACTATGTTCCCATGTACAGTAACATAACGCACTACAACTTACCAAAATAAACTCCAGTGTGCTGGAATATTCTAGAATATACTAGAACATACTAACATACTATAGTGTACCATAGTATACTATACCAACTGAACCCTGAACCCTAAACCTCTCTGGATTCGCAACACCGGATCGCTACGGTTACCTGCAGACAAGTTGCCGGCGTGTCACCACGATCGTTCTCGAGCACTTGAGCCCCAAACTCCAGAAAAAGCTGGGCCAACTCTCCGTCACCTGCGGGATTACTATTGCACAGTATAGTGTAGTATAGTGAAGTGTGGTATGGTATAGTATAGTATCATACTATGGTACTGTATGGTATAGTTTGGTATAGTCGAGTATCTATTGATGGACTAAGAGAGAAAAATTATAGACATTTATTTCAAGAACGGGTCCCCGAACATATGTATATATATATATATATATGAGTCTGGTACTCCAGAACCCAGCCTAACATAGCAGCAGTCCCTAATGGGGTGATGCCAGGAAGAGCCGCCACACGCCGGGCCGAAATTGAGCCGGAGCCAAAGCCCAAAAGGCCAGTGTGAGCACGGGCGGCCAATGTAATCAATCGGAACTTGCCAGTAGGACGTGCTTGCATGTTAATGTCTGCGCGGCTTGCGAGCAGCAAGCGGGCCTTGCTAGCAGAGAACCTGTTGCTTTGCCTTGCGAAGCCGGCGACACCATGTAGTGGACCATAGCCGGCTCCACTTGGCTCTGGGTTGGGATCGCACATCGCCTCTAGCAATGCGGCGACCGTGCCCGTATCTGCGGAGGAAGCAACTCCTGTCAGTGGAGCCAAGCCGAGCGGCGAGCAGATGGAATGAATGTCTGCCTTGGCCTCCACCAGCACCTGTCAGCTGCTTCAGAGAAGGATCGCTGCTCCTACGGGGTCCTCGCCTCAAAACAACGACTAATGATGAAGCCCCAGTTTTGAAACATCCCCACCTTCACTTGTTGCGCGGAGCGAGCGTAGAAAGCAGAATTGAGTCCACTGCGGTCTCTCGCATTTACATCTGCCCGAAGCTCTAGCAGTGTTGAGAGCACCTCTGCGCTTTGATGCGATTTTGCTGCCACCATGAGAAGCGTCTGACTGTCGTAGAACCCCAAGTCGCTCAAACCAGAAACTCGATAGTTGACATCGGCCCGGCGCTGTATCAGCCTGGAGAGCATTTGCGCATCCCCTGCGATGACTGCGCACAGAGCTCCGTTCATGATCTTGTCGGAAATTGCCTTGTATGAACAGGAGGAACTCAGCGGCATTCTGAGAGTTCAGGGTCCCGCTCTACGGGTGGTCTTAAGATGCGGATCCTACTATGTCGGGGTCCGTGTTGTCGGAAACTCCGAACTAGTCTGTTGCGACACGGGCCATGGGGCTGCAACATATGTCCATGCTGCTGCTGATTATCAACAACAACAGCCACGACAACAACCACAACCACAACCACAGCCACAACCACAACCACAACAAGAACAATAACAACAACAAACAACAAACATCAAACAACAACCAACAACCAACAACCACAACAACCACAACAACCACAGCAACCGCAACAACCACTACAACCACAACAGCCACAACAACAACAAAACCAAAACTTCAGACAACACGGCCAACTGGGCTCGGAGATGCATTCATTGCTGACTGCTGCATACCCTTAACAGCCTCGATCCCAAATGAACAGAAGGAGCCTGTACCAGTGTTTTACACTACGGAATTTATGTGTTTAAGGCCACCCCATATTGATAAGCAAGAACGCCTGGTAGTGACACGAATCCCATTTTTGCAACTGGCTTGCAACGTCACGCCAGGACAGCTGACTCGTTCCAGGCTACCCTAAACCCTAAACCCTAAACCCTAAACCCTAAACCCTAAACCCTAAACCCCTAAAACACAAACCTCTATACCCCGAAAACCGCGAAGCCGCTCAAGCGTAGTCCCCAAACCTCAAAACCAACCCGGATAAAGACAGCACTTGGAGGATCACGGGACTTAGTAAGAAAGGTTATAAGTCCCCTAATTGGGGTTATAACTATAGTTACCTTGCTTATACCCCTAGTTACTAAGTCCCATGATCCTCCAAGTATGGTAAACTGCCGAAAAGTCTGGACAGGGGGCATCCTGGAAGCTTGGAAAGCGGAAGTTCTCCAAAAAACCCACCTGGGCTGTCCATAGAGGCCGTGTAGGGTTATGTTCTTCTAGGGTTTATTCGCGTTTTTTTGGGCACGGGGTTCATACAGTTTGTTGCGAATTGTAGGAGGCGGCACTAACATCAAAAACTTGAGCGCTCTGCTGCTTCTTGAGAACTAAACTGGGATCTCAGCTCTTCTTACAGACTGCAGGCTATAACAAAAACAACATTGAACCCTGAAGCCTTAAAATTGAAGACCTACCCGTAGTCTTCGTTGTAGTTCCTTTCTTGGCGACCTTACAGGATCATGAACGTGAAGTTGGTTAAACCAAAGAAGGAACAAAGACTGTAGGTAGTTTGCAACCGCCGAGCTACCCCAAACCTTTACCCACTTTTTGCTAAAGCCCTAAAAAAAACCGGAAAGCCTGTGTTCGAAGCCCAAAATCATAAGAATGGAAAACCCAAACTCTGAAACCCTAACCCTACACCCAAAACCCTAAACCCCTTAACCCCTTTTTTCATCAGGGCCTAAACCCTAAGCTGTCTGTTTCCAACCGCCGAGTTACGAGGTCCCAAGGGAGGCAGGGCCGACCGAGAAGCTTCGCTCGGTAGGCCACGTAGAAACCTGAGAGGTGTTATTGGGTTGGGGCCCTTCATAATTAGGATAAGGTATCTGGGGTATATTATACTATAATTGTAATAAGGAGCCCCCAAAATAGTATTGGTAATTATTATTATTTAGGCCCCTATATATTACTACTATCAACGTTTACGCTCTCACAACTCGGACTTGCCAGGCGAGGTCTATCAGGTGAAAGTCGGCGCGAAACCAGGTGAAGCCTACTTTCAAGCTTTGGGGTGGTGGTGGTGGTGGTGGTGGTGGTGGTGGTGGTGGTGGTGGTGGTGGTGGTGGTGGTGGTGGTGGTGGTAGTAGTTGTTGTTGTTGTAGCAGCAGAAGCAGCAGCAGTGGTCGTCGTCGTGGTTGTTCAGTACTAGTCTAAATAGTAGTAGTCGTCGTCGGCGTAGCAGCAGTAGTAGTTCGTAGTAGCACCACCAGCAGCAGCAGGCAGAAGCGGGCAGCAGCTCGAAGATCAACCATACACGCCCCTATAAGACGACGTTTAGGGTTTAGGGTTTAGGGTTTAGGGTTTGCAATATTCCTTGCCGGGACTTACGAACCTTGCCGCGACACGATAAAAGGCTGTAGGGCCCTTGGCCCCTAGATGTCGGATCTTGCTGTCCACTGCCATCTCACTGAGCTTAACCACGATGGCCCTGTCACTCTCGACTGTGAAGTCGCCTTCTGCTACAGTGTTGTGCTGCCAATCGAGGGGAAACATGTATTCAGCCTCCATAGCAGAATGTATAACAATGACACTTGTGTCAGGCTTGTTGGACAGAAGGTGGCAGTAAAGTTCGGCGCGGCACCATCCCCTGGACAGCCACGACGGATAGTTGCATCGAGTGCCGCGGGTCATATGTGGTAACTCGGGCACCAAGGCCACAAAGACATTCGATGCCTCTACGTAGGCCGGAATACTTTGTACGGCAAGGGCCGCATTCGACCGTGTTACAGCTTCGTTCACTCCCTCATGCCGCGCGGTGATCTGCGGGATGGCAAACCAATCCAGAAACAGGAACCCGTGTTGGATCTCCTTTCGGATAGCATCTGGAAGCTGAAGTGTCGGCCTGCCCTTGATCAGGGATATCATGTCGCCTTCGACGTGCAAAGACCCTTCGATGATGCCCGTCAGGCTCTGGCGGAGAACTGCTAACTGCTCTCCACGTGGATCTGGATGTGTGGCCCCAAGCCACTGATGAGACACGAAAATCACGAACATTCCTGCAAGGGGTCTCCACTGAAAGTTTTTGCTTTTGCTGCTTCTTTGCCACCCACCGGCAGAGTCCGGCTAAGTCGTTATTGGAGCTATAGGAACCATCCATACCCCGGACATCGAGACGAAACCTAAACCCTAAACCTCGTAACACTACTTGCAGGATCATGGGACTTAGTAACTAGGGCTATAAATAAGGTAACTATAAATATAACCCCAACTAGGGTACTTATAACCTTACTTACTAAGTCCCATGATCCTCCAAGTACCCTCCGCCTGGGCACCATTCGTAGAGCAACCCTTGCTGCTCTAGGGCGCGGTGGGGCATCGGGGCACCCTCCATCTTCCTTGGTGGCTTCGGGCACTCAGACAACTCGGGTACCCGATTCAGGGCCCTGAAAGTCAGGATGCTAGTGTGCTACTATTATTTTTCTCGTCACTGGCACGGTAATAATACTGTTATTATATACACAGACATTTTCTTTATATTTATTCATTGGTTGGTATTACTATTGTTCTATTACTATGCGTTCAGTACTATCATTACTAGTACATTTTACTTATGATTATTATGGTTGTGATGCTTCTTGGGATAATAATCACCACCACTATTAGCCATCTCCTGGTCTCTCTCAGCCCTCCAAACATCTTGTGACTAGTATTGTTACCATACTATTCCGTAACATTGCTAGTATTACTACTGTTTTTGTTCTGCGTGTTATGACTGTTGTGCCGAATGTGAGGGTTCTGTCAGGCCCTACCCGAACCCTAGAAAGGCTTCCTGGACCTCATAATGAGCTCCTTAAACAGGGAATTGTTTCGGACTACAGCCACTGGACCCCGAAAGAACCACGCGATCGATGCTATCTGTAAAGACCCTCGTTATCATTAGAGCTGATGTTGTTGCTGTTCTTGTTGTCGTTGAGTTGGGCTCGGATGCCATGCACACGCGCAAAACCGACATGGCGATTCCATCGGTATTTACAGTCTTTCCCTTACTTCATGTGCCGAATATATCGGTGCCGTCGCTGTTCCCGGCGACTCCAAAATCACGAATTCTGCACGTGCCGAATCCCTCAGCATTTACGGCGTTTCCTTTGCTCGCAGTGCCGAAACCACTGATATTTGCGATGATTCACAGAGCATTCAAATGCCAACCATGTTAACCGTCCACACAAGAATTCCGTCCGTTCCCACAGAGCAAGCATGTGCCAACCATGCTAACGTCCGCGCAGACTCCGTCCGCTCCAACACCGCATGCATGTGCCAATCATGTTAACGTCCATACAGACTCCGTCCGTTCCCACAAAGCATCCATGTGCCAACCATGTTAACATCCACACAGACTCCGTCCGTTCGCACAGAGCACCCATGTGCCAACCATGTTGTAATTGTTATCTTCCTTCTGCCAAGATCGCCTTGCTGTCTTGCGACTTGCGACACATGGCATTTGTCCCACGCCGGCCACGCGAAACGACAGAACGCAAACGAGAGACACATGCTTCTAAAAGTTGCATAGGCCACTTTCCCGCAGTGAAAGACACAGTTTCTCTTGAAAGCATGGTTCCCGCAAGAAGAAAAGAACAAGAGGCAAAGAGAACATGTTCAAGACTTCTGCATTCAAAACATGGGTTTTGTCCAACGCAGGCGACGTAAAAGACATATCGGAATCTCCGTCGTTTCCGCCAAAATCAACATGCCCAAAACCTCAGCGAAAACGAGTCAAAACGCAAGTTGCCGAAAAACGTCACATATCGTTTGTCCCATAAAGGTCACGCAAAACACACGTTGCCGTGCATGGGTCGTACACGCGTGTACGTAGCAGCCGAGCGCTGTTGTTGTTGTTGTTGTTGTTGTTGTTGTGGTTATGGTTATTATTGCTCTTGTTCTTAGTCTTGTTATTATTAGTACTGTTGTTGCTCTTCTTGTTGTTGTTGTTGTTGTGGAAGCTCCTATTGTTATTATCAGTGGCCAAAACCGTCATGTCCAAAGCTATCGAGCTTCGACCCCAAAACCTCAAGCACTTAACCCAATGAAACAGAACCCTGAATCCTGAGACCCCAAAAGGGCCTAAACCCCAGACCCTGAACCACCCAAATCCTGGGGGAAATCCCTAGATCCCTAACCTCTAAACTTCACAGAAACCCCAAACCCTGAACCCCAAGCCCTAAAACCTGCCCTAACCAGACCTTCAATTGGCCCGAGCTTCAGGAAGTCCGAAACCTGACGGGGAGAGGGCTGCCAGGTTTTAGATCCAGGATGCTCCAGGCTTCTTTTAATCCAGGCTTGCTTCAGGTTTGGATGACTTGCCCCTCCTACCTAGCACGGACGAGCCCGCATCGCAGGTTTGTTTTGAGGGTTAGCGGTTTAGGACTTCGACGCTCGCACTCGGACAATGCAGGCGAGGTTGAGGGTGTAAGGCGTAAGGTGTAGGGTTGTTCCGTAGGTGTTTTCACAACCGCTTAGCTAACTGGGTCACACTGCAGGGAACACACGAGTTGTTTATGGGTTTGGAGTTTTAGGCATACTTCCCCAAGAAGCCAGGGAAATTCAAGGCTAAACTTTGAGATTACGACTAAATATAAGAACCCAAAAAGCTTAAAGGTTGGGTGTTGGCAAACTAAGTTAGGGCCATTGGATTTAGAGCTCAGAGACCGCAAGGCTTTGGGATTTCGACTTTCGCTCTCGCACAAGGCAGGCAAGGCTCCAAGGCTTTGGGATTTAGGGTCTTAGGGCTCTGGGGTTTTGAGATTATGGTTTAGCGTGAATCCAGGACTTGTGGATTTAGGGCTCATCGACTTAACTTAGGCATGTCTGGGGTGCAGAGTTTTCGGGTTAAAAAGCAGTCTTACGTAAAAGAGCTTCAGAAATTTCAGGGTTCTAGGCAGGTCATACGGCGTGTCGAGGGTTTTGCTACCATGGCTCTCTTGAAGCTCGAGCAGAAGACTAAGAACTTTGAGCACGGGTTTCGTCCAGAGCAACTCGGAATAACAGCACAGCAGACGCTGCATGCCTTGTTTCTGGCAAGTCAGTTGCTGGTACCCCGCCCCGAAAGCGAATGAGGCGAATAGTTATGCGGTGGCGAAAAGAGGTGAAGCGTCAGTGTTGTAATTTTCCTGGTTTCAAGCTTGGTCAGCATCACGGTTGCGATTCTATCGTGCGAAGGCTTCTGATCCGAGCGAGATTGAAAACCATTGGCTTTGAACGGTTGTCTCTGTCGTTTGTCATTGCAGCCTTCTTGCTCGTTGTGTCTCGATTGTTAGTTGCTTGTTTGCATTTGGTTGCTCTCGCGATTTGCAGCAGGAACCGAATTCAACTCAGCACCAAAATGAACAGGCTTTAGGGTATTTTGATATGCAGCAGTATGCATGACAAAACCGGCTGTCGGGCAACATGTTTGTAGACTCCGCACGGCTTCGGAAGCGCGTGCACCTTATCTTCTGCAGCTCCGTGCCTGCATTTCTGGTCGTCTTTGCTACACAAACTGAGAACGGGCTTCTCGTCTGCGTGAAACTTTCCAGCAGGCATCGAGCTATGTCGAGTGTTCCCCAGGAAAACAGATAGCAATCGAGGCGGATCGATGGCTCTCGATTCGAGCGATGTCGAGTGCATTCGACTGATTTCGAGTGGTCTTCGTGTTCCGATGGGTTTTGAGCAGCCTACCGCGCTCTTTGTACGCTGTGGTGCGTTGCTGGCATCGGGATGGGGCGGTGGCGGCTGCGACCCCCAAGCCCCTTATAGCTCTGATTGATCCAGAGATCTGGCGTAATGTGGGGCCTTAATAGTAAGAATAGGGTTTTGGGGCCCATGATACTATAACTATAGTAATAAAACGGTATTGGTAATTATTTAGGCATTTAGGCCCCTATATTATCCAAAGATCTTGTGAAGTTTACCCAGCTTCGTGGGGGGTGAGGCTCGGGCTCGGGATCGGGGATGAAGGGCTTGCCGAAACAGTATTCCGAGCACGGCCTGGATGTGGAGACCCTAAGTGATGGCTTCTTGAAGGCTTCTATAAAGTATATAGACCTTCCATAAGGCCCCTATACCGGTAGCTACCCACCTGAAAATGTCCTGGACTTGGTGAAGCTTCGAAGGATCTTGAGTTTGGGGGGCGGGGGGGGGAGCTTGCGAAGAAATTTGTACAAGTAGTAACTAAGGGGTACCTTTATAGTAACCTTAGTTGCCCTTAAAGCACCGCTTTTAGTAGCCCTTGTAGTAGCCATTGTTTTCGCAACCCTTTTGCATCCAGGCCCCTTGCAGGTGTACCCTATGCCCTTAAAACCCTAAACCCTAATATAAGAGCCTTAACAATTAGAACTATTATAGTAAGGAACCCCCAAAAGAGTAATGGTAACTATTTAGGCCTCTCTATTAAGCCCTAAAACCCTAGACACGCACAGCCCAGAAGTTTTGTGAACGAACGGCGCCTTGACCACATAAACCCTAAACCCTAAACCCTAAACAACCCTAAACCCTAAACCCTAAACCGGCCTTGACCACATACATCGGAAAGTGGCGGTCGTGGACCGGCTCTGAGTTGATCACCCCGGCATCGGCGCCGCAGCTTCCCAGGGAACTCCCCATGGCCGGCGAAAATGGGGAAACTCTTGGCTGACGGGAACGGTCCCAAACCTCCTATGGCTTCCCTAGGATTTCTGCACATTCCACGGAGATCTGCGCCTTTTTGGGTCGGACGAGCCTAGACTCATAAGGCATGGAGCAATGGAGCATCTACCCGAATCTACCCAGTCAGCCGGGATCTTTCGGAAGCAGCAGATGTTGCGGTGTTTGTGAGGTGAGGCTGCTACTTTGGGGAAGTCGACAGAGCCCGCGTCAAGAAGCCTTTTTTTTGGCTGCACCTGCTCTGGGAAATGGGACTCATTCGTACAGGACTGGGGGTAGATTTGATGCCAGAAGTACATACAACCTATGTAGGAGGGAGAACAGGGGTAGTACTACTACTTGGAGTAAGGCTATAAGCCCCCTAATTGGGGTTATAACTATAGTTACCTTGTTTATACCCCTAGTTACTAAGTCCCATGATCCTCCAAGTAGATACCCCGGGCCCCTGTACTAAGGCCTGGGGCGGGAGCCTTGGGTGCGAAAAGACTTTGTCTGGCTCACGCGCGGCTTTTCGAGGAATGGCCTGTTTCGAGATCCTTGACGAGTTTAGGGATCCTAAACCCAGGGTTTAAGGTTTACGGTTTAGGGTTTAGGGTTAAGTTTAGGGTTTTGTCTCTAGCGTTGAGGGTTTAGGTTTCATCTTGCTGACACGACTGTCAGCCAGACATCATATAGCCGGGTGAACCCAAAGCGCCTAGAACCTGAAACAACGACCCTAAAAATCCCTCAAACACCTTCAACCTTGAACCCAGGAGTTTCCTTGCACTGAACCGAAACCGTTTCGGGTTTGAGGTTTAGGGCCAAGCCCCTACAAAATAGTCGGCCATGACCCCTTTTTCAGCACCCGCAGTCGACCCTGAATTCTAGGGCATAACACCAGAAGTACACCAGAACAGTAATGTAGGGGCCTTAATAACCAGAATAGGGTTTTGGGGCTCATGATACTATAATCAAATTAAGGAACCCCCCCCCAAAAAAAAAAATAGTCTAGGTAATTATTAAGGCCCCTACATTAAGCCCTATAACTATAATAAGGAACCCCCCAAAATAGTATAGGTAATTATTCCCTAAACCCTAAACGCTAAACCCTAAACCCCTAGAGCCCCCTAGTAGGTTTTTGGATCCCGCAAGGAAGTCCCGAACCTTAGGGAGGACCAGCCTCACTGGCCGTGGCCCGAACCTCCGAAAAGTGGGGAGGGGCGCAGAAGGGTTAGGGTTAAGGGTTTAGGGTTTAGGGGCACTTTTTCGGTTGAAATCTAGTGCCATTGTTCTTCTACTAATCATCGCTGCATGCAATTCTTGAAAGCAATAATTAGCGTAAGATTGATTAAGTATACGACCAATACTAGCATTGGAGTTTGAACCGTACGTGTTTTTATTATTGTCATCACCTATTGTGTCCACCAGTGTGTTTGTCGTTGGCAAGGTTATTGTCAAGACCGCGATCATGGCCAGTCTTGTTGATGAATCGCAGTACACGTTGACATGGCGAGTAAGCCGGGAAGTGTGCAGCTGACAACTCCCAGAACACTCGGCACGGGCTGTCGCACCTGTAGGTCCCGGTAGCTGGAGGCGTCAGTCCTACGCCGGATCCGTTTTCTTTCCGAGCCTAAAATGATGCCAAAAGCGGTACGGTGCGGTGGTGAGAACGCAGAGGCTAGGCATACCACGTCGAAGGACTCCTTTTAATTAGAACTTAAAGTCAGACATACAGCGCCTGCGTATTACAGGAACCTCAAGAAGCCCAACAGCCCCTGCTGCAGCCGGGGTGCTGCCCCGAGGATTGCGACGGTGCAGGGGAAGGCACGCGTTCCACAACCCGAGGCATGGCTTCGTGGGTGCAGCCACAGAAGTTTTGTGAACGTCACAAATGAATGAGCTACATCTTGCGGAGTCGCCGGCTAGAAGCGTAGAAGTATGCAGGAGGCTTGTATCTATAGCGGCTGAAGAATCTGGGACAGGCTGGAGTAGCCTGCAAAGTTGGCATATAAGGCAAGATAGTTTGGGCAGAGAATTTGTGGGAATTGAAGCTTTGGAAGGTCGTCTAGCCAGTTAGCTATACGCCGGAGGCGTTCTGTGAAGCTCGTAGGGTTCGCCGGGCATAGGCCAGCTGACACCATGTAGCACATCTCTACTGAGCTTGGGCTGCCAGAAAGCAAGCTTGACACAGCCAGGACGTTGGGCCAATCAAGTGGTTTAGGGTCTTGGTTCCCCATTGAAACCCCTTAACAAAAATGGTACCCATTTTCCTACTACCTAGTTCATGGTTGGGATAGTATTAAAAATTTAAACTTATATTCCTTATTGGGTTTAAGTACCCTTAAAAATGTAAAATGTTACCCAACTATGACAAAGCTACTTGGTTCTAATTAATAAGGGGTTTAGGCAGCCTGCAGTTGCAAAACCTCCACCGGTCTTTTCGGGACGCAAGCGGAGCGATTAAATCAATCAGGCAGCACGCCTGAACCTAGAGGACCTACAAACTCGCCAAAAGCGAGCTAACTAAACCTGCGATTGCTCTTGCCGCATATTATACCATTTTCAAATCTATCAGATCTTTAACTCCCCAAGTCCCTAAACCCTAAACCCAAAAAAAACCCGAAGCTGAGACTTAAGAGTCCATGGCATGGCCCGGGATCGTCACTCCACGCCGAGCGTACGGAGGCGAAGCCGAAGAAGCCGGAGAGGTGGCCGGCGAATCTGGGTTCGGTCTTCACTGCTGTTTTGGGTTCAGGGTTTAGGGTTTAGTATACATCCGGGAGATGTCCATACAAGCAAACCCCATATGCAACGATTCAAGCGGATTTGGAGCCTATTTTGTTTGCGACTGGACTCAAGTCTAGCCAGACCTGCAATCATCAACCAAATCCTTTAAACCCCCAAACCCCTAAAGCCCTCGAAACCCTAAAACCCTCAAACCCCTAAACCCTCAAAACCCTTTTGCCTAAAACCCCTGAAACCCCTAAAGCCCTCAAATCCCTAGGCCCCCAAAACCCCAACCCCTAGCTAGACCCGAAGCTTCGGGCCCTGAACCCCAGAGAAGCCAGGAGAGCTCCAGAACCCTAAAAACAAGGGGGCCTTCAGAATCAGAATTGGGTTTTTGGTGGGTTCCGTTCAAGGGTTCCTTAAAGGGTTCTATAAGGGCTACCATAGGGGTTTAAGGTATAGGGGCCTTCAGAAATAGAATTGGGTTTTGGGGCCCATTGTGCTCTAATTATAATAAGGAGCTCCCAAAATAATATTGGCAAGTACTTGGGCCCCGTTTTTACCCCCTCAGAGATGTTGAGATCTCTTGTCATGACTTCCTTTTTTGGGCCTCAAAAGTGTGGGTTTTGGGGTGGCTTATATATATGGCCTCAAAAGCGTAATAGGGTTCTTCTGGGAGGGTTAAGGTATGCCTCAAAAGTGTGGGTTTTAGGGTGGCTTACCTTTGGCCTCAAAAGGGTAATAGGGTTCTTTTGGGAGGGTTAAGGTATGCCTCAAAACTGGAAGCTGAAAGCCTCTGTATTAGGCATATGTATGATACAAAAAACCCACCCTAAACCCT